AGTGACACACCTGGGACAGGTGAGGGACACACCTGGGACACCTGGGGACAGGGCAACGTCCTGTACCACGGCCTGGGTGAGTGACAGCTGTGCCCAGGTGTATCTCAGGTGTGCCCAGGTGTATCCAGGTGTGTGACAGGTGTGTTTACCTGCAGCCCCCAAGGGCGAGGCCGAGCTGCAGGAGCTCCTGGCCCAGGTGTGCCCAGGTGTGCACAGGTGTATCTCAGGTGTGACAGGTGTGCTCAGGTGTATCCAGGTGTGTGACAGGTGTATCTCAGGTGTGCCCAGGTGTATCTCAGGTGTATCCAGGTGTATCCAGGTGTGTGACAGGTGTGTTTACCTGCAGCCCCCAAGGGCGAGGCCGAGCTGCAGGAGCTCCTGGCCCGGCGGGAGCGGCGGCTGCAGGGGAGGGCGGAGCGGCGCCGGCAGCAGGAGCAGAACCTGGAGCGGAAACGGCAGCAGAGGGAACAGCACAGGTGAGACGGACAGGTGAGACAGGTGGGACAGACAGGTGAGACAGACAGGTGAGACAGACAGGTGAGATGGACAGGTGAGACAGACAGGTGAGACAGGTGAGACGGACAGGTGAGACAGACAGGTGAGATGGACAGGTGAGACAGGTGAGACGGACAGGTGAGACGGACAGGTGTGACAGACAGGTGAGATGGACAGGTGAGACAGGTGAGACGGACAGGTGAGACAGACAGGTGAGACAGGTGAGACAGACAGGTGAGACAGGTGGGACTGGGACAGGTGAGACGGACAGGTGAGACAGGTGAGACGGACAGGTGAGACAGGTGAGACAGACAGGTGAGAGCGGACAGGTAAGAGCGGACAGGTGAGACAGACAGGTGAGACGGACAGGTGAGAGTGGACAGGTGAGAGCGGACAGGTGAGACAGGTGAGACGGACAGGTGAGATGGACAGGTGAGACAGACAGGTGAGATGGGCACAGGTGTGACTGGGGAGACTGGGGAGAGCGGGACAGGTGAGAGTGGACAGGTGAGACAGGTGAGACTGGACAGGTGAGACTGGACAGGTGAGACCAGGACAGGTGAGACTGGACAGGTGAGACTGGGACAGGTGGGACCAACACAGGTGAGACGGGACAGGTGTGACAGCTGTGATGGGTAGGAGAGGGACAGGTGTGCCCAGGACACAGGTGAGGGTGGCAGGGGCCTCCCAGGTGAGGAGGGTCACAGGTGAGGACAGAAGGGTGACACAGGTGAGGCTTCCCAGGTGTCCCCTCACCTGTCTCACCTGTCCCCCCCCTGTTCCCCCCCGTCTCACCTGTCTCACCTGTCTCTCACCTGTCCCTCACCTGTCTCCCCTGTCCCTCCCCTCTCTCACCTGTCTCTCACCTGTCCCCCCTGTCCCCGCAGGCAGCGCAGCCTGGCCGGGATGGGCGTGGCCCCAGGTGGCCCTGGGGCTGCCCCAGGTGACGCTGGGGGCGACAGCGGCGCCGAGGACCCCGGCGCACCTGAGGCAGGTGAGGCCGAGGACGAGGACGAGGCCGAGTACTACAGACAGGAGCTGGGGGCGGAGCCTGACCCAGGTGAGATTGGGGGGGTTCAGGTGAGATTTGGGGTGTTCCAGGTGAGTTTTGGGGTGTAAAAGGGGATTGGGGAAGGATCCAGGTGAGTTTTGGGGGGCATCAAGGTAAATTTGGGGGACTCCAGGTGAGTTTTAGGGGGGGTCCAGGTGAGTTTTGGGGGGAAGAAAAGGAAATTTTGGGGTTTCCAGGTGAGTTTTGGGGGCTCCAGGTGAGTTTTGGGCTTTCCAGGTGAGCTTTCCTCCCCGGAAGTGGCTGATGAAGCCAAAATTCCTGAATTTCCGTGATTTGGGATCAAAGTAAACGCTCTGACACTTCCGGGGCCTCCTGCCGCCCCAAAGCCCAACTTTTCCCCCCAAAATCCAAGAATTTTCTCCCTAAATTCCTTTTTTTTCCTCCCCAATCCCCTTTTTTTCCCCCCAAATCCCAATTTTTCTCCCCAAATCCCAATTTTTTTCCCAAAAATCCCTTTTTTTCCTCAAATCCCTATTTTTTCTCCCAAAAACCTCTATTTTTTCCCCCAAAATCCCAATTTTTTCTCCCCCAAATCCGAGTTTTTCCCCTCAAATCCCATTTTTATTCCCTTAAATCCCAATTTTCCCCAAATCCCAACATTTTTATCCCTAAATTCCTTGTTTTTCCTCCCCAATCCCCTTTTCTTCCCCCCAATCCCAATTTTTCTCCCCAAATCCCAATTTTTTCCCCCAAAATCCCATTTTTTTCCCCCAAATCCCAATTTTTCCCCTCAAATCCCATTTTTATTCCTCTAAATCCCAATTTTCCCCAAATCCCAACATTTTTATCCCTAAATTCCTTGTTTTTCCTCCCCAATCCCAATTTTTTCCCCTAAAATCCCAATTTTTGTCCTCAAATCCCATTTTTTTCCCCTAAACCCCAATTTCCCCACCCTAAATTCCCATTTTTTCCCTCTGAATTCCCATTTTTCTACCCTAAATCCCCGTTTTCTACCCTAAATTCCCATTTTTCCCTTTTTCCCCAGATTTGTTCCCTGGCAGCTCCAAGAGGAAGCGAAGCCCCTCGGCCGCGCCCCGGGCCCGGAAACGACGGAAGGGGACCCCAAAATCCACCCCTGGGACCCCAAAATCCACCCCCGGAACCCCAAAATGCCACAGAAAAAACCCAAAATCCACCCCTGGCACCCCAAAATCCACCCCAGGAACCCCAAAATCCACCCCTGGATCCCAAAAATTCCACCCAAACCCCCCAAAATCCCAACAGGGAACCCCAAAATCCCATCCAGGATCCCAAAATTCCACACCTGGCACCCCCAAATCCCACCCAGGACATCCCAAAAACCCCAAATTCCATCACAGGAAACCTGGAACCCCCAAATCCCAACAGGAAACCCCAAAATCCCAACCTGGAACCTCCAAACCCCGCCCAGGACACCCCAAAAACCCCAAATCCCACCCAGGACACCCCAAATCCCACCCAGGAAACCCCAAATCCCACCCAGGACACCCCAAATCCCACCCAGGAAACCCCAAATCCCACCCAGGACACCCCAAATCCCACCCAGGAATGCCCACAGCCCGCCCGGGTGTGGCCAGGTGCGGCCCTGGTATCCCCAGAGCCACCCAGGTGTGTCCCAGGTGTGTCCCAGATATCCCCAGGTGTGCCCAGAGCCCGCCCAGGTGTCCCCAGGTGTGTCCCAGGTATCCCCAGGTGTGTCCCAGGTGCCCCCAGAGCCCCCCAGGTGTGTCCCAGATATTCCTAGGTGTGTTTTTATCCCCCCAGATGTGCCCAGGTGTGTTGTTACCCTCCCCAGGTGTGCCCAGGTGTGCCCAGGTGCCCCCAGGTGCTCACCGCGGCGGTTGGGCTGCATGGACTCCCCGCGCCGGCTGGCCCCGTCCCTCAGGTGTGGTTTTACCCCCCCAGGTGTGGTTTTTACCCCCCCAGGTGTGTTTTTACCCTCCCCAGGTGTGTTTATCTCCCCCCAGGTGTGTTGTTACCCTCCCCAGGTGTGCCCAGGTGCCCCCAGGTGTGCTCACCGCGGCGGTTGGGCTGCATGGACTCCCCGCGCCGGCTGGTCCCGTCCCTCAGGTGTGGTTTTTACCCCCCCAGGTGTGGTTTTACCCCCTCAGGTGTGTTTTTATCCCCCCCAGGTGTGTTTTTTACCCTCCCCAGGTGTGCCCAGGTGTGCCCAGGTGCTCACCGCGGCGGTTGGGCTGCATGGACTCCCCGCGCCGGCTGGCCCCGTCCCTCAGGCTGGGCGGGACGTACTTGCCCGTCTTGCTCACCTGCGCTGCCACCGGCTCCGGCTCTGCAGGGAACGAGGGGACAGGTGGGGACAGGTGAGGGACAGGTGAGGCACAGGTGAGACAGGTGAGGCAGAGGAGACAGGTGGGGACAGGTGAGGGACATGTGAGAGACAGGTGAGACAGATGGGACAGGTGAGAGACAGGTGAGGGACAGCCCCAGCAGGTCCGCCTGCACGGGGCCACCACAACAACGGGGCCACCAAAATGGGGCCACCATGATGACCTTGGGGCCACAAAACTGTACAAAACCGGGAAAAATTCCCAAAAAAATCCCCAAAAAAGCCAAATTTGGGATTTGGGATCTGGATTTGGGGTCCCACCTCCGGGCAGCTTCTCCTTCTTGCCCGTGGACAGCCCCAGCTGCTCCTCCTGCACGAGGCCACCACAACAACAATGGGGCCACCACGGTGACCTTGGGGCCACAATACAGTAAAAAAATGGGAAAATTATGGGAAAAAATCCCAAAAAAAGCGGGATTTGGGGTTTGGGATCTGGATTTGGGGTCCCACCTCCGGGCAGCTTCTCCTTCTCGCCCGTGGACAGCCCCAGCTGCTCGGCCAGCTCCTTCTGCACGGGGCCACCACAACAACGATGGGGCCACCAAAATGGGGCCACCATGGTGACCTTGGGGCCACAAAACCGTACAAAAACGGGAAAAATTCCCCAAAAAATCCCAAAAAAAGCCAGATATGGGATTTGGGGTCCCACCTCCGGGCAGCTTCTCCTTCTCGCCCGTGGACAGCCCCAGCTGCTCGGCCAGCTCCTTCTGCACGGGGCCACCACAACACTTGTAGGGGCAGCGCGTGGTCCAGTGGTCGCCCTTGCAGATGCGGCACGAGACGATCTTCTGGCCCTTGAGCTTGTTCATGGGGTCCTCCTCCTCCTGGCAGTTCAGGTCCTGGGGGACGGGGACACACCTGAGCACACCTGGGCACACCTGGGCACACCTGGGCACAGCTAGAGACACCTGGGGACACAGCTGGGACACAGCTAGGACACAGCTAGGACACACGTGGCCATGGGGCACACCCAGAGATGTTCATGGGGTCCTCCTCCTCCTGGCAGTTCAGGTCCTGCATGGGGGGAGATACCTGAGCACACCTGGGCACACCTGGGGACAGCTAGAGACACCTGGGGACAGCTGGGACACAGCTAGGACACAGCTAGGACACACGTGGCCATGGGGCACACCCAGAGATGTTCATGGGGTCCTGCTCCTCCTGGCAGTTCAGGTCCTGGGGGACGGGGACACACCTGAGCACACCTGGGCACACCTGGGCACACCTGGGCACAGCTAGAGACACCTGGGGACACAGCTGGGACACAGCTAGGACACAGCTAGGACACACGTGGCCATGGGGCACACCCAGAGATGTTCATGGGGTCCTCCTCCTCCTGGCAGTTCAGGTCCTGGGGGACGGGGACACACCTGAGCACACCTGGGCACACCTGGGCACACCTGGGCCCTGGTATCCCCAGAGCCACCCAGGTGTGCCCAGACCCCGCCTGGGTGTGCCCAGAGCCCGCCCAGGTGTGCCCAGAGCCTGCCCGGGTGTGCCCAGGTGTGCCCAGGGTCTGCCCAGGTGTGCCCAGGTGTGCCCACAGCCCGCCCGGGTGTGCCCTGGTATCCCCAGAGCCACCCAGGTGTGCCCAGACCCCGCCTGGGTGTGCCCAGAGCCCGCCCAGGTGTGCCCAGAGCCTGCCCGGGTGTGCCCAGGTGTGCCCAGGGTCTGCCCAGGTGTGCCCAGGTGTGCCCACAGCCCGCCCGGGTGTGCCCTGGTATCCCCAGAGCCACCCAGGTGTGCCCAGACCCCGCCTGGGTGTGCCCAGAGCCCGCCCAGGTGTGCCCAGAGCCTGCCCGGGTGTGCCCAGGTGTGCCCAGGGTCTGCCCAGGTGTGCCCAGGTGTGCCCACAGCCCGCCCGGGTGTGCCCTGGTATCCCCAGAGCCACCCAGGTGTGCCCAGACCCCGCCTGGGTGTGCCCAGAGCCCGCCCAGGTGTGCCCAGAGCCTGCCCGGGTGTGCCCAGGTGTGCCCAGGGTCTGCCCAGGTGTGCCCAGGTGTGCCCACAGCCCGCCCGGGTGTGCCCTGGTATCCCCAGAGCCACCCAGGTGTGCCCAGACCCCGCCTGGGTGTGCCCAGAGCCCGCCCAGGTGTGCCCAGAGCCTGCCCGGGTGTGCCCAGGTGTGCCCAGGGTCTGCCCAGGTGTGCCCAGGTGTGCCCACAGCCCGCCCGGGTGTGCCCTGGTATCCCCAGAGCCACCCAGGTGTGCCCAGACCCCGCCTGGGTGTGCCCAGAGCCCGCCCAGGTGTGCCCAGAGCCTGCCCGGGTGTGCCCAGGTGTGCCCAGGGTCTGCCCAGGTGTGCCCAGGTGTGCCCACAGCCCGCCCGGGTGTGCCCTGGTATCCCCAGAGCCACCCAGGTGTGCCCAGACCCCGCCTGGGTGTGCCCAGAGCCCGCCCAGGTGTGCCCAGAGCCTGCCCGGGTGTGCCCAGGTGTGCCCAGGGTCTGCCCAGGTGTGCCCAGGTGTGCCCACAGCCCGCCCGGGTGTGCCCTGGTATCCCCAGAGCCACCCAGGTGTGCCCAGACCCCGCCTGGGTGTGCCCAGAGCCCGCCCAGGTGTGCCCAGAGCCTGCCCGGGTGTGCCCAGGTGTGCCCAGGGTCTGCCCAGGTGTGCCCAGGTGTGCCCACAGCCCGCCCGGGTGTGCCCTGGTATCCCCAGAGCCACCCAGGTGTGCCCAGACCCCGCCTGGGTGTGCCCAGAGCCCGCCCAGGTGTGCCCAGAGCCTGCCCGGGTGTGCCCAGGTGTGCCCAGGGTCTGCCCAGGTGTGCCCAGGTGTGCCCACAGCCCGCCCGGGTGTGCCCTGGTATCCCCAGAGCCACCCAGGTGTGCCCAGACCCCGCCTGGGTGTGCCCAGAGCCCGCCCAGGTGTGCCCAGAGCCTGCCCGGGTGTGCCCAGGTGTGCCCAGGGTCTGCCCAGGTGTGCCCAGGTGTGCCCACAGCCCGCCCGGGTGTGCCCTGGTATCCCCAGAGCCACCCAGGTGTGCCCAGACCCCGCCTGGGTGTGCCCAGAGCCCGCCCAGGTGTGCCCAGAGCCTGCCCGGGTGTGCCCAGGTGTGCCCAGGGTCTGCCCAGGTGTGCCCAGGTGTGCCCACAGCCCGCCCGGGTGTGCCCTGGTATCCCCAGAGCCACCCAGGTGTGCCCAGACCCCGCCTGGGTGTGCCCAGAGCCCGCCCAGGTGTGCCCAGAGCCTGCCCGGGTGTGCCCAGGTGTGCCCAGGGTCTGCCCAGGTGTGCCCAGGTGTGCCCACAGCCCGCCCGGGTGTGCCCTGGTATCCCCAGAGCCACCCAGGTGTGCCCAGACCCCGCCTGGGTGTGCCCAGAGCCCGCCCAGGTGTGCCCAGAGCCTGCCCGGGTGTGCCCAGGTGTGCCCAGGGTCTGCCCAGGTGTGCCCAGGTGTGCCCACAGCCCGCCCGGGTGTGCCCTGGTATCCCCAGAGCCACCCAGGTGTGCCCAGACCCCGCCTGGGTGTGCCCAGAGCCCGCCCAGGTGTGCCCAGAGCCTGCCCGGGTGTGCCCAGGTGTGCCCAGGGTCTGCCCAGGTGTGCCCAGGTGTGCCCACAGCCCGCCCGGGTGTGCCCTGGTATCCCCAGAGCCACCCAGGTGTGCCCAGACCCCGCCTGGGTGTGCCCAGAGCCCGCCCAGGTGTGCCCAGAGCCTGCCCGGGTGTGCCCAGGTGTGCCCAGGGTCTGCCCAGGTGTGCCCAGGTGTGCCCACAGCCCGCCCGGGTGTGCCCTGGTATCCCCAGAGCCACCCAGGTGTGCCCAGACCCCGCCTGGGTGTGCCCAGAGCCCGCCCAGGTGTGCCCAGAGCCTGCCCGGGTGTGCCCAGGTGTGCCCAGGGTCTGCCCAGGTGTGCCCAGGTGTGCCCACAGCCCGCCCGGGTGTGCCCTGGTATCCCCAGAGCCACCCAGGTGTGCCCAGACCCCGCCTGGGTGTGCCCAGAGCCCGCCCAGGTGTGCCCAGAGCCTGCCCGGGTGTGCCCAGGTGTGCCCAGGGTCTGCCCAGGTGTGCCCAGGTGTGCCCACAGCCCGCCCGGGTGTGCCCTGGTATCCCCAGAGCCACCCAGGTGTGCCCAGACCCCGCCTGGGTGTGCCCAGAGCCCGCCCAGGTGTGCCCAGAGCCTGCCCGGGTGTGCCCAGGTGTGCCCAGGGTCTGCCCAGGTGTGCCCAGGTGTGCCCACAGCCCGCCCGGGTGTGCCCTGGTATCCCCAGAGCCACCCAGGTGTGCCCAGACCCCGCCTGGGTGTGCCCAGAGCCCGCCCAGGTGTGCCCAGAGCCTGCCCGGGTGTGCCCAGGTGTGCCCAGGGTCTGCCCAGGTGTGCCCAGGTGTGCCCACAGCCCGCCCGGGTGTGGCCAGGTGCGGCCCTGGTATCCCCAGAGCCACCCAGGTGTGCCCAGACCCCGCCTGGGTGTGCCCAGAGCCCGCCCAGGTGTGCCCAGAGCCTGCCCGGGTGTGCCCAGGTGTGCCCAGGGTCTGCCCAGGTGTGCCCAGGTGTGCCCACAGCCCGCCCGGGTGTGGCCAGGTGCGGCCCTGGTATCCCCAGAGCCACCCAGGTGTGTCCCAGGTGTGTCCCAGATATCCCCAGGTGTGCCCAGAGCCCGCCCAGGTGTCCCCAGGTGTGTCCCAGGTATCCCCAGGTGTGTCCCAGGTGCCCCCAGAGCCCCCCAGGTGTGTCCCAGATATTCCTAGGTGTGTTTTTATCCCCCCAGATGTGCCCAGGTGTGTTGTTACCCTCCCCAGGTGTGCCCAGGTGCCCCCAGGTGTGCTCACCCCGGCGGTTGGGCTGCATGGACTCCCCGCGCCGGCTGGCCCCGTCCCTCAGGTGTGGTTTTACCCCCCCAGGTGTGTTTATCTCCCCCCCAGGTGTGTTTATCTCCCCCCCAGGTGTGTTTTTATCCCCCCCAGGTGTGCCCAGGTGTGCCCAGGTGTGCTCACCGCGGCGGTTGGGCTGCATGGACTCCCCGCGCCGGCTGGCCCCGTCCCTCAGGCTGGGCGGGACGTACTTGCCCGTCTTGCTCACCTGCGCTGCCACCGGCTCCGGCTCTGCAGGGAACGAGGGGACAGGTGGGGACAGGTGAGGGACAGGTGAGGCACAGGTGAGACAGGTGAGGCAGAGGAGACAGGTGGGGACAGGTGAGGGACATGTGAGAGACAGGTGAGACAGATGGGACAGGTGAGAGACAGGTGAGGGACAGCCCCAGCAGGTCCGCCTGCACGGGGCCACCACAACAACGGGGCCACCAAAATGGGGCCACCATGATGACCTTGGGGCCACAAAACTGTACAAAACCGGGAAAAATTCCCAAAAAAATCCCCAAAAAAGCCAAATTTGGGATTTGGGATCTGGATTTGGGGTCCCACCTCCGGGCAGCTTCTCCTTCTTGCCCGTGGACAGCCCCAGCTGCTCCTCCTGCACGAGGCCACCACAACAACAATGGGGCCACCACGGTGACCTTGGGGCCACAATACAGTAAAAAAATGGGAAAATTATGGGAAAAAATCCCAAAAAAAGCGGGATTTGGGGTTTGGGATCTGGATTTGGGGTCCCACCTCCGGGCAGCTTCTCCTTCTCGCCCGTGGACAGCCCCAGCTGCTCGGCCAGCTCCTTCTGCACGGGGCCACCACAACAACGATGGGGCCACCAAAATGGGGCCACCATGGTGACCTTGGGGCCACAATCCTGCTCCTCCTGGCAGTTCAGGTCCTGTGGGACGGGGACACACCTGAGCACACCTGAGCACACCTGGGCACACCTGGGGACACCTGGGCACAGCTACAGACACCTGGGACACCTGGGGACAGCTGGGACACAGCTGGGGACATCCCCTCTCCAATCCCCATTTTCCCCTCTCTAGTCCCTGTTTTTCCAGCTGTGATTCCCCATTCCCAAATTCTGTTTTTGACCTTCCCCAGAGCCAGAATTCCCATCCCTAGAACTGGAATTCCCATTCCCAATCCCATTTTTCCCATTCCCCAGCTGGAATTCCCATTCCTCAGCTGGAATTCCCATTCTTCCCATTCCCAATCCCCTTTTTCCCATTCCCCAGAGCCGGAATTCCCATCCCCAGTCCCATTTTTCCCATTCCACAGCTGTAATTCCTATTCCCCAGAGCCGTAATTCCCATCTCCAATCCCGTTGTTCCCACTTTTCCCGGTTCTCCCATCCCAATCCCATTTTTCCCATTCCCAATCCCATTTTTCCCATTCCCAAGCAATTTTTCCCAATCCCAGTCCCATTTTTCCCAAATAAATCCCAATCCCATTTTCCCCATTCCCAATCCCATTTTCCCCCAATAATTCCCATTTTTCCCCAAGAATTCCCATTTTTCCCATTCCCAATCCCATTTTTCCCATTCCCAATCCCATCTCCCCCTCTCCCAATCCCATTTTCCCCACTCCCAATCCCCTTTTTCCCAAACAATTCCCATTTTCCCCCAGTAATTCCCATTTTCCCACTTCCAATCCCATTTTCCCCAATAATTCCCATTTTCCCCACTCCCAATCCCATTTTTCCCAAAGAATTCCCATTTTTCCCCAATAATTCCCATTTTCCCACTCCCAATCCCATTTCCCCACTCCCAATCCCATTTTTCCCCAAAGAATTCCCATTTTTCCCCAATAATTCCCATTTCCCCATTCCCAATCCCATTTTCCCCAAAGAATTCCCATTTTTCCCCATTCCAATTCCCATTTTACCCCAGTAATTCCCATTTTCTCCATTCCCAATCCCGTTTTCCCCATTCCCAATCCCATTTTTCCCCAGTAATTCCCATTTTTTCACAAACAATTCCCATTTTTCCCCAGTAATTCCCATTTTTTCACAAACAATTCCCATTTTTCCCCAGTAATTCCCATTTTTCCCCAAAGAATTCCCTTTTTCCCCCATAATCCCCATTCTCCCTCACCTTGCGCCGTGCCACGGCCTTGGAGGCTTTGCGGGTCTCGATCCGGAACGTCCGGATGATCTGGGACGGGAAAAACTGGGAATGGGGCTGGGGAACCCCAAAAAACCCCAAATTTGGGGTCCAAAAACCCAAATTCGGGAATTCCTGGAGCACCTGAACCCCAAAAAAACCCAAATTTGGGGTCCAAAAACCTAAAATCTGGGAATTCCTGGAGCACCTGAACCCCAAAAATCCCAAATTTGAGAATTCCTGGAACACCTGAATCCCAAAAACCCCAAATTTGGGGTCCACAGATGACAGATTTGGGGATTCCTGGAGAACTTGATCCTAAAACCCCAAATTTGGGAATTCCTGGAGCACCTGAGCCCCAAAAATCCCAAAACTGGGGTCCAGAGGTGACAGATTTGGGAATTCCTGGAGCACCTGAGCCCCAAAAATCCCAAAACTGGGGTCCAGAGGTGCCAATTTTGGGGTTCAGAGGTGCCAATTTCGGGGTCCAGAGGTGCCAATTTTAGGGCTCAAAGGTGCCAGTTTTGGGGTCCAGATGTGCGAAATTTGAGGCTCAGAGGTGCCAGTTTTGGGGCTCAGGTGCCAAATTTGAGTTGCCTGCAGCACCTGAACCCCTAAAAAGCCAAATTTGGGGTCCAGAGGTGCCAATTTTGGGGCTCAGGTGCCAAATTTGGGGCCCAGAGGTGCCTATTTTGGGGCTCAGGTGCCAAATTTGAGTTGCCTGCAGCACCTGAACCCCTAAAAAGCCAAATTTGGGGTTCAGAGGTGCCAGATTTAAGGCCCAGAGGTGCCAATTTTGAGACTCAGGTGCCAGTTTTGGGTCTCAGAGGTGCCAAATTTGGGGTCCGGAGGTGCCAATTTTGGGACTCAGGTGCCAAATTTGTGACTCAGGTGCCAACGTTGGGGTCCAGAGGTGCCAATTTTGATGTTCAGAAGTGCCAATTTTGGGGCCCAAAGGTGCCAATTTCGAGGTTCAGAAGTGCCAATTTTGGGGCTGAGGTGCCAATTTTGAGGCCCAAAGGTGCCAATATTGACACTCAGGTGCCAGTTTTGGGGCTCCGAGGTGCCCCCCGTGCCCCTCTGTGCCCCCGTGCCCACCTTGACCTTGCGCCCGTCCTCCTCCTCGCGGTACTCGGTGATGGTTTTGATGTTGCCATTGACGACCTCCTTGGGGGATGGGAGGGGCCCTGGGGGCACGGACAGTGACACACAGCTGGACACAGGTGTGTCCCCAATGCCGCCAGGTACGTCCCAGGTACACCCAGATGTCCCCTAGGTGTGTCCCCACTGTCCCCCCAATGTGCCAGGTGTGTCCCCACTGTCCCCAGTTCCCCAGGTGTGTCCCAGGTGCATCCCAAGCTGTCCCCAGGTGTGTCCCCAATGCCCCCAGCTGTGTCCCAGGTGTGTCCCCACTGTCCCCAGGTGTCCCCACTGTCCCCAGGTGTGTCCCCACTGTCCCCACTGTCCCCAGGTGTGTCCCAGGTGTGTCCCCACTGTCCCCAGCTGTGTCCCCACTGTCCCCAGGTGTGTCCCCACTGTCCCCAGGTGTGTCCCAGGTGTGTCCCCACTGTCCCCACTGTCCCCCCAGGTGTGTCCCCAGGTGTGTCTCACCTCCCTTGAGCAGCTCGGCCTCGGCGCTGTTGGGGCCTCCCAGCACCCCGGGCAGGGGCAGATCCTTCAGCAGCTCGCTGGTGATCACCTTGTCTGGGGACAGGGCTCAGGTAACTCACCTGGGCCAGGGGACTCACCTGGGCCAGGTAACTCACCTGGGCCAGGGAACTCACCTGGGCTCACCTGGGCCAGGGAACTCACCTGGGCCAGGGAACTCACCTGGGCCAGGGGACTCACCTGGGCCAGGTACAGCCTCACCTGGGCCAGGTACAGCCTCACCTGGGCCAGGGAACTCACCTGGGCCAGGGAACTCACCTGGGCCAGGTACAGCCTCACCTGGGCTCAGGTCACCCCTCCCACCTGGGCCAGGTCACCCCAGGCTTGCCCAGCCCTAGAGTAGCTCTGTGTCCCCAGGGACACAGGTGGCACCAGTGACAGGTGCCGCAGATGTGACAGGCATCATTTAATGACAGGTGTGACAGGTGTGACCAATGACAGGTACCACAGGTGAGACAGGTGGCACCAATGACAGGTGTGACAAGTGTGACCAATGACAGGTGCCACAGGTGTGACAGGTGGCATTAATTACAGGTGTGACAGACGGCACCAATGACAGGTGTGACAGGTGCCACAGGTCCATCAGGTGTCACCAAAGACAAGTGTGACAGGTATGACAGGTATGACAGGTGTGACAGGTGGCACCAATGACAGGTGTGACAGCTGGCATTAATTACAGGTGTGACAGGTGGCACCAATGACAGGTGCCACAGGTGTGACAGGTGCCACCCCACCAGGTGTCCCCAGTGTCACTCCTGCCATGTGTCCCAGGTGTCCCCAGTGTCCCCAATGTCCCCAGAGGTGTCCCCGGTGTCACTCACCATCCTCTCCTCCCTCCTCCTCCACCTGGTCAGCCCAGCTGGGCTTGGAGCTGCGGGGACACGGCGGCCTCAGGCTCCCTGTGCCCCCAGTGCCACCCCAGTGCCACCCCTGTGTGTCCTCTGTGCCACCCCCAGGCTCCCAGTGCCACCCTCAGGGTCCCTGTCCCCCCCTCAGGCTCCCTGTGCCACCCTCAGTGTCCCGGTGTCCCCTCAGGGTCCCTCCTGTCCCCAGTGCCACCCCCAGGCTCCCTGTCCCCTCAGTGCCACCCTCATGGTCCCTCTGTCCCCTCAGGGCCCCTGTGCCCCCAGTGCCACCCCCAGGCTCCCTGTCAGTGTCCCTGTCCCCCCTCAGTGTCCCTGTCCCCCCTCAGTGTCCCTGTCCCCCCTCAGGTTCCCTCTGTCCCCTCCCGTCCCCCCTCCCCCTCACGGCCCCGCCCGAAGCCCCCGGGACCGCGGGGACCCCGAACCGGGACCGAGCCCCGACCCTGCTCCTGATCCCGGTCCCAGCTCCCGATCCCGGTTCCCATTCCCAACTCCCGATCCCGGTTCCCATTCCCGTTCCCCAATCCCGGTTCCCATTCCCGTTCCCCGATCCCAAATCCTGTCCCTGGTTCCCGATCCCGGTTCCCGTTCCCAATTCCCGATCCCGGTTTCCAATCCTATTCCCCGTTCCCGGCTCCGATCCCGTTCCCAAAAGCAGAAAAAAGGGGAGAAAGGAAAGAAAAGGGGAAAATGAAAAGAAAGGAGAAAAAAGAAAAAAAGAAAAAAGGGGAACAAAAGAAAAAAGTAGAAAAAGAAAAAGGGAAGAAATAAAAGAAGGGGGAAAAAGAAAAAAAAGGAGAAAAAAAGAAAAAAGGGGGAAAATAAAGAAAAGGGAAATAAAAGAAAAAAAGGGAGAAAAGGATAAAAGAAAAAAGGGGAGAAATAAAAGAAAAGTGAGAAATAAAAGAAAAAAGGGAGAAATTAAAAAAAGGAAATAAAAGAAAAAAGGGGGGAAAATTT